TTTAATAATGATATAAATGAGCTTAATGGTGTAATCACACCATGTGAAGTCCTAAAGGCCATCAAATCATTAAAAAATGGTAAAAGTCCATCCATTGATTTTATTTCTAATGAGATGATAAAAAATGGTACAAATTCTACCATGTAATCTCTTGTTAAATTATTCAATTTTGTCTTTAATGAAGGTATCTTTCCAATAATATGGAATGAGAGTCTTCTTGTTCCACTTCACAAAAAGGGTAGTAAGGCTGACCCTGGAAATTATCGAGGAATTTCTATCAGTTCAAACCTAGGAAAAGTGTTTAACAAGATTATACATGCCAGATTGTTAAAATTTACCCAATGCAACAATTTGATAAGCAAAAACCAAATTGGTTTTATGGAACATAATCGTACAGCTGATCATATTTTTTCATTGAAATCAATTATTGAACAATACAAGACTAAACATAGGAAAGTGTATCTTATCCCAGGAATAGATTACCTTAGCCGTATTTGGCACAACTTTCTGGAATTTTGGGTCCTCAATGCTCTTCAACTTTGTACTGGTTTGGCTTTATAACTATTAATACCACTGGGTCGATGCCACTGCTGGTGGACGTTTCGTCCCCGAGGGTATCACCAGCCCAGTAGTCAGCACTTCGGTGTTGACATGAATATCAATTATATGGTCATTTTAGTAAATTTCCTGTTGACAAAACTTTAAATTTTTCGTAAATCTAAGGATTTTCTTATCCCAGGAATAGATTACCTTAGCCGTATTTGACACAACTTTTTGGAATTTTGGGTCCTCAATGCTCTTCAATTTTGTACTGGTTTGGCTTTATAACTATTTAGATCTGAGCGTCACTGATGAGTCTTAGGAAGACGAAACGCGCGTCTGGCGTATTAAATTATAATCCTGGTACCTTTGATAACTATTTATGCTGCATTTATTGATTTAAAAAAAGCCTTTGATACGGTATGGAGAATTGGATTATTTCATATACTATTAACACATGGTATTCCAAAGAAAATTTTTAACATAGTTTTTTCAATGTATACCAAAACAAAGAATAGAATAAAATTTAGTGATGGTTTAAGTACATCTTTTATATCGGAAAGAGGTGTCAATCAAGGCGATGTTCTAAGCCCTTTTTTATTAATAATATTGTAAATTTAAAAAACAATAGCACGGACCCTGTGCTAGTTGGTGATGATAAGATTCATTGTTTGTTATATGCCGATGACTTGGTACTATTGTCAAGTAGTCCAGAAGGACTACAATGTACTCTTGACACTCTAGCTCAGTTCTGCACAGATTGGAAACTGGAAGTAAATTCTACAAAATCAAAAGTCCTAATATCTAATTCTAACGGTAAATCATTTCAAAACTTTTTTACTATCAACAAATCTTATGTTGAGACAGTTGATAAGTATTGTTATCTTGGGATAACTTTAAAATGCAATGGTAAATTTTAACCTTGCCTCCAATTTATTGATAGAAAAGGCTAGAAAAGCTCTATTCAAAATAAAGAAATCTCTTAGTCTGAACAATTCATGTAGACTTTTAGAAAAACTTTTTGAAACAATGGTACTTCCAATTTTATTATATGGAAGTGAAGTTTGGGGTATTGAACCAATTCTAAAAAATACTGAGAATGAATCATATGAAAAGTTTCATATAAAATTTATGAAAGAAATTCTTGGGGTTCACTGTAAAACTTCCAACAATGCATGTCGCAATGAGCTTGGTAGACTCCCCTTAAAAGCTAAAATTATGTTGTCTTCCATGGAATTCTTAGATCATTTAATCCCATCTGACAAGATCTTAGCTCATGACATTTTTATTAAAACAAGAGAAAACAACCTATGGACAAGTAATATGAAGAAATGTATCCAAAATCTGGGCTTCTTGTATTTTACATCTTTTCATGTACCTATTAAACCTATGCTTGCTCAGATAAAACAACGAATTCATGACCAAATTTTACAGGAACAGAATTCATATATTACGGAATCATCAAAATTATCATTTTTTCGACATTATTGTTTTTCAAATAAACGTGCACACTATGTTGATCATTTGAATATGTTGAAAGATAGGGCACCTTTGGCAAAACTTAGGCTAAGTGCACACAATCTTGAAATTGAACAATAACACAATGTAACCGTAGAAACGAATATTATTGTTACATTCGTAATCAATCGGTTCCTTATCCAACCCTGCATTCCGGCAGTTAGTCTCCAATGTAACAATAACTTTTTTATTATTGTTACATTTCAATGTAACCGTAGCCAGTGCCTTAAAAACTGTTCTATTAACATCCAACATGTACAAACACTTGAGTTTATTTTCATATCTTTTCTAAGAATATTGATACAAAGAAAATAAAACAAAGACTTGTATCATTCCCTTTACCAAAAGGGTGTTTGAGAATATACAAGAGTCCAAGTTTCAGAGAAAAGTTAGTTGTGTATAATTTTCTCCTTTGCAAGTTTTCAAAAACCTGTAAGTACTCGAAAAATGCCATATTCAACCATTCCATGACTATTTTAATGTTACAATAGTAGAGGAACATGAAATATTGAATAGTTATTCAAGAAAGTGTCGAAATATAACTACAATCATTAACTTTACTCGAATGTAGGGAGCTACCATTTGATTTTTATGGGAGCGGGGGGGGGGGGGGGGGGGGGGGGGGCTAGGATGAAATTTGAAAAAAATAGGCAAGACAGGAGTTTTGAGTAACAAAAAAGGCAGGATGAGATACTTGCAAAAAAAAAATGTCAGGACAATTTAGGTAAAATAAAGTCAGGTTAAACTAAAAAAAATAGGCAGGACCGTATAGAGTGAAAAATAAAAATTCAGGACAGAGATTACAGCAAAAAAAAAATTCAGGACAAAATTTTTCATCCTAGCCCCTATAAAAATCAAATGGTAGCTCCCTTACTGTTGTGAACATGCAATTTCCTACGTGTACGGAGTTATCTCCCTTTGATCTCCACTTCGCCACGAATATGCTCAGCCTGACACAAATTCGTGTCCAGTGAATTTATGATCGATTATCATAAAAATTTCATGTAAAAAATGGTTTTGCTTCATATTTTTACGTTACCATACCTATTTAAGGAATAATTAGGAATTTTCCGTGGACCTACGCAAATTTTCTGAAAAAAAGTTTCACTTCACTCGTGAATTAAGAATACTTTGACAACACTTTTTAATAATAATTATAAGGAATAATGAAGCTTATTTACTCTAGAATTGAACACTTTGACTTTTATTAATGTACGAGTACAAATAAGACGATACGAGTCAAAAAACCACGAGGCATGAACGTTTACCAAAAAAACGTAAGCTCTGACCTTTTGTCACGTGACCAATGTCTTGACCTTAGAAGCCATTAAATCGTTTGCCGTCCAACTGCATGATACGCCCGTCGCTGTTTCAAAGAATAATGTTCAATAACTCCTCAATGTCATATCAGAAATTTATAAAAAAAAACTAAAGGGAGTTTTTTTTAAGAGATATAAAGCAGGGGCCTGTTTATCGGAGCGCTCTTATGACGAAGACATGAGTGTCCTAAGATAATCTTTGTACGTATCTTTGTCCTAAGTTCGTTTATCAAACATGTCGTTACTTCATAGGAATCGTCCTAACTTTAGGACACCTAAGAAGTTGTCTTAAGATGGTCCTAACTTTAGAATATATTTTATGATGGTTAATTGTAAACAATACGACCGCCACCTATATATGGATCCCCCTTTTTTCTAAATATTTTTCTATTTTCACTTATTTAATGTGTTCATGCTCTTATCCAAAAGATATTACAAAAACAATAGTATCTATATGACCCTCTGCACGTGGAAAATAAGAATAGAGAAGCCTCGTATATATATATAAAACACATGAAATAAATGGACATAATTTGAAATATTAAAGTTTATTTACTTTTTAAAAAAGTTCAGAAAAAGGACCCAAACGCATGTGATCCGTATTGAAACAATTTATGTATTCCGTATTTTTATGAAAGATGCACGAGATTTGCCAGAATAAAACCGTGGTGCTTCGAATTAAACTCACTCAAAAATTTGATCAATTATTATATAAAACGTTGTTACATTTTTTGTGATTTTGTTTTTGTTTCATAAAATTTGAATGTACCATTTTCAGATAAATATTATTTCTAATCTTTATGATAATACTAATAATATTTCTAATTTTTAATCTTGCAATTATTTACTACTGGTGAAATTCAGTGCATTCTTAAACATTTAACATTTTTAAATTCCTATTTTTCTTTACGCTAACACTTAGGACAGCGGTAAGGACATCCTAGCTACATTGTAAGATAGTCCTAAGATAGCTTCGATGTGCATGCTGAGACATGTCGTAAGTTGGTCCTAGCATTATCCTAATTTATTTCTAAGAGGGCTTAGAACAAATCCTAGGACAGCTTCGATAAACAGGCCCCAGTCACCAAAGTTTCATGAAAACTGCTCAAAGCACTTTTGAGTTATTGTCCAAACTGGAAAATCCCCCTTTTTTTAATGAATAAACCCCATAACTCGGAATCGTTAAATCTAAAATTTATAAAAATCGAAAAGGAGCTCACGTCAATAGATATTAACCATTCACCAAAGTTTCATGCAAATTGGCTAAAGCGTTTTTGAGTTACTGTCCGACATGTTGACGACGGACGGGTGGACAACGGTATACCATAATACGTCCTGTAAACGGGCATATAAAAATAATGTTGGGGGAAATTAAGCAATAACTTTTATACAAAACTCTAATATTTTTTTCAACATTGGATGTACGTGCGTGACGTCACAGCTAAAACTTCAACGTCATTAGTAATTGGAACAACACCGGAGATCAAAATTGTCATTTTTGTTGGTGTTGCTTGCTAGAAAAAGTTAATCAAAATCATCCTGAAAGTAAGTTCACATGTTTCAACTATTTTTTTAATCGTGAAACAGATGGTATTCTAGAACGTCTTGTCTTGTTATACGTACTACAACTTTTTCGTTGATTTCTGTCTTCAGCCAAAAACTTTCAAAATGAAAATTTTGCCAAAACAAATCTGCGCCTTTTTCTTTGCATGCTGCCTACAATGGAAAGAAATTACAATATAAATACATGTATGTTTTAATTCGACAATAATTTGAACTATTTTAACTGGAGATATTATTTTGAAAATGGTCAACTCCTATTGCGACTTTGCAGAAATTATAAACTATGCAATGGAATTGAGAATGGAAACGGGGAATGTGTCGGAGAGACACCCGACCAAAGAACAGAAAACAACCCAAGGCCACCAATGGGTCTTTAACGCAGTGACAAAATCCCGCACCCGGAGTCGGGCTTCAGCTGGCCCCTACACGATTATTTATACTAGTTAAGCAAAATGGGCACCACATTAAACTCAGTGTTCTATTATTTTTTGAACGAAACATTTTCTTTTAAAGTAGGTATACAAGCTATATATATACATTTATATTATGAAAGTTATTGTACTAAAAAATGGGAAAACCATACGGAGCTTAATTAAGTTATTTATTTATCAAAGAAATCATATGTACATTGATATTTATATTATATTAATTGGCACAACAAAACCAAACCTCAAAAGAAAATTAACACAATATTTTAATTTGTATGCCTCTGTTAGAGTGTTATTTTATCGTCCACCGTAATTAATTTTGTCATATTAAAGTTTTGTTTATCGTCTGTTAAAGTCATTAAGTCAAATAGCTATCCTGCTATAAGAGATTAACATAGCATGTTCTCTAGGTCACGTAGTAAATACTTTTATATGATTTATGTGTTTTGTTTTTGTATCTACAAAGAGTTGGAGAATATTTGGAGAATATTTAGGTCAGTTGGAGAATATTTGGAGATTATTTAGGTCAGTTGGAGAATATTTGGAGATGATGGGTATATAAGGGCCTCCTGTTTTAGTGTTGATGAGAATTGAAGGCGAGAAAAGAACTATACAATATGAAACGTTAAAAAGGATTTTGTTATCTCGGCAGATTTTGGCAGATCTTGGGAGGACCTTTATAGATTCATAGAAAGTTGTGCTACATTACTATTCATTTGTATTTAGTTTTGATATTTTGTCCGCACAGTATTGGACACTGTTGCGTGGTTTTTGTCCGCTCAGTATTAGACACTGATGCGTGTTTTTTGTCCGCACAGTATTGGACACTGTTGCGTGGTTTTGTCCGCATAGTATTGGACACTATGCGTGTTTTTTTTTGTGTGCACAGTATTGGACACTGTTGCTTATTTTTTATACGGAATGTAATGAAATCAGTTTGTGATAACGTGGGAAAGGGATGTGCCGATGAATCTTTGAATCATACATTTTGTAAACTGTATATAATGTAAATATTCGCCTGGAATGGAATTTTGATAAATCATAGATTAGTCAATTTATTTGTATATTTTCTTTAACAACAACTTACAAGACTACACATCATTGGATTATTTGTCGTTAATTGTCTGTTATTTCAATGTACCCGGCCTGACCTGAAAGTTTTACTATACTCGACCGCCATGGCACATCCGGTCTTTAATTGTTTTTTTAGTCTTAATAGAAACGTTAAGAGGTGTTTTGATAAAGGACCAAATATGGCCTCTATTTCAGCTAAAATTTCAAATAAGAATTTAATAGTTATTCAATATCATATTTAAACACATCATATTCAAAACAATGAAAAGATAGAATTTTTTTTTTTAATGTATGCAGAGCGTTCATTTTATGATGTCACAATTAGACATTGTTAGAATTTCCGCCTTAGTATTTAAGCACCAGGGCAATTTCCACTGGTTTTCAGGGTGTCATCCTCGAATGCCAACATTTTATATGTTACCTATTCCTTGAACGCCAACAAAAATATTTCAATAGATGTTTATATAATAACAATAGGTGTTTTAATAACTATTTAAATGTTTTTATAAACATTAAACTGTTAAAAATAATTAGTGAACTTGATAAAATTGCATTTTGTTTTTGCAATTTTATCACTTTTTGATAAGAAAAAATAGTAGATTTTGGGGTTAAAATTATAATGAATTTTAAAGAAATAAAGAAAACTCAAACATTTTTATTACTTTTAAAAAAAAAAAAGATATTTTGAGAATGGAAATGTTTATTAACATAAGACATATTAGAAATATTAAAGAAATATTGGTTAAATACAATTATTTCAAACTGGAAAGGGATATTGGAGACATATTTAATTCCATATCATTTTAATTTATTTATTAGTTAATATGAACTTACAATAAAAAAGGGTGTAATATTATATCCAAGAAAAATATCCTGAACACACGAGATACAAAGTTTCAAGACATTCCATCAAGTAATATGGGAGGATATTACAGCACACACAAATATAGAAATATTGAAAAGAAACATCAAAGCCCAAAGAGTCGAATGTAGAATATGTGCTAAATGGAATTCCTAACAATATGCACATGTTGACTTTGTGATGCAACACTTTTCAAAGTTTCATATTAAGAGATTCCATATTTGTTCAAGCAGTAACAGCAAAAAATGATTTTCAACAACTATCTTTTTTTTTCTTTATCTTTTTTCTCGTAAACCAAAGTACAAAGGTATAGAGACATATACAAATAAATTAACATACATAGTATAAATTTTAAATACAAATGTAAAGTAGAGACATAAAGTGGTTACCCAGGAGATTCTAGGCATTTAATAATAATTCTTATAAACTTGCACAGCTTGTTTAGTTCAGACGGATTGTTGCTATTCATTAGACCTTAAAATTTGACAAACATGAACTAGATTTAGCTACCTTGTGAGATGGGGGTACGGCAAGGGGAAAACCTTTCACCTGCTTTGTTTTCTATATTTTTAAATGATCTTCAAACTTTTTTTGAACAGAAAAATATAACTGGCTTAAAATCTATATCACAAGATATCGAAAATGAGCTGTCAGTATTTTTGAAATTATTTCTACTTTTATATGCAGATGATACTGTTTTATTAGCAGAAAATAGCACTGTTTTACAATACATGTTAAATACCTTTTACGAATATTGTGAAGAATGGAAAATGAAAATAAATACAAATAAAACTAAAGTTTTGATCTTTTCGAGTGGCAGAATGCCAGCAAATCTCAAGTTCACAGTAAATTGCAACGATATTGAAATTGTAAAAGAATACAAATATTTAGATATTTTATTTTCTAGAAGTGGATCCTTTTTATCAAATAAAAAATATTTAAAAGAGCAAGCCACAAAAGCTATGTATAGTGTTTTAAAAAAGGTAGACAAAACAATTTGTCAATAGAATGTCAAGTTGATTTATTTGACAAAATGGTTTTACCAATACTGTTATAGGGGATTTGAAAATATAGATATACTTGAACGTGTACATTTACAATTTTGTAAAATGATTTTACATTTAAAACAGTCTACTCCAAATTTCATTGTGTATGCAGAGCTTGGCAGATACCCAATTACTGTGTCTGTAAAATAACGAATGGTTAATTTCTGGAGTAGACTTCTTAATGGAAAAAAAAGTAAAATTTGTGTTATTTAATACAAACTTGTATTTTTATATTATAATGATAACGGAATAGAAACTAAGTGGATATCATATATCAAAAATATTTTTGATAATTGTGGTATGTCCAATATATGGAATGCACAGTTTGTTGATAAATGGGTGACAAAATGTATTGAGCAAAAACTCAAAGACCAGTTCCAACAATATTGATTTGCTTTTGTTGCAGACTCGCCTAAAACTATATGTTATCGTATTTTTAAAAATAATTTTCAATTTGAAAAACATTTTTCTTCTTTGCCTTACAAATTTATTCATACATTTTGCAAATATAGATGTGGAAGTCACCACTTGCCGATTGAGTCCGGAAGGTGGCAGGGTTTACCGAGAGAAGAGAGAATCTGCCGTCTCTGTGACTCAAACGACATTGGTGACGAGTACCATTACATTATGAATTGTGGAACATTTAAGTTGGACAGAAAGAATTTTTTACCCAAATACTGTTTGTCAAACCCTAATATCTATAAATTTGATCAACTGTTTAATTCATCAAATATTGTAATATTAGAAAAACTATGTAAATTTATCAAAGTTATAAATGTGAAAGTCAGTCCTCCAAGTTAATTTCATTGTATTGTTCGCACATGCATGTAATAATTGTACCTTATAGTTATATTTATGTATGTTCTCTATAACTATGTAATTGTAGTTTTATGAGAAATAAAGTATTCGGTATTCGGCTATTCATTAGACCTTAAAATTTGACAAACAATAACTAGATTTAGCTACCTGTAATTTACCTATCTGTTTAATTAGAATGATTGTTTTGATAAGCATGCACTTTTGTTGTGATAACTACTTACACCTATTCCTCGAACGCCAACATAATTTTACAGGTAAACTGTCGGTAGATCAAAGGATGTTGGCATTCAAGGAATAAACCGTTTTCAGTGCTGTAAAATAAAAACATGTAGCATGCGACGAAAAAAATCTTGCAATAATTTGATTTTTATTATAAAAAAAACTGTTAAACGTTTCATTAAAAATGTTTGGCGAAAAATGTTCTATTTCACTTCTCTTGAAATAATAGACTTGATAGTTGGTGCCAAAATAAGGCTCTTAACCTTTATGAGATGTTGGATTTGTTATGCAAATTTTTGTCGCTTTTTGGTAGTGAATCGTCTGTATTTGTTTAAGCGAATATAAAGATGTTTTAATTTAAAGTTTTATATGTTTCATCAGAGACATATATACACATATGTGTACATATGTCTCTGGTTTCATGTAGATCTTTTCAAATAATTACAAATTATCCATTTGAATTTATATCGAAGTTTTATGTACGTATATAGTCATTGAAAGCTGTCGTCTTCTTGTGCGATGAACCATATATCGTCTACATTGTCGTTCTGTCTGTATATCATAAGATTTGATTTGATTTTTTGGTGTTTTAACGCCACTTTTAAGCACCGCTTTTGGGCTATTTCGTGGCGGCCAGTTTTTATTGGTGGAGGAAGCCGGAGTGCCCGGAGAAAACCACCGACCTTCGATAGGAAAACTGACAATCCTAGTCAATTAAGATTGGAGTCGAGTGCACCCGCACGAGCGGGGTTCGAACTCACAACCTCAGTGTTGACTGGCTAGTGATTAAAGTAGTAACTACTTAGACCACTCGGCCACCGAGGCCCCGTATATCATAAGAGCCGAAGTCAATATTTTTAGCATGATGTCTTAAGCAGATGGAAGATCGAGTCAGTCGTATGTCTGTTCTCTTTTTCCACGAAAAAGGGAGAATACAAATTAGGTACATCACGACGTGAACTTTAGGGTGTTTTGCCAAAAAATTATTGTTAAGCCAAACACAACTAAATTACAGTATGTATTTAAAATTGATGTCTGTTTCACTTATAAAAGAAATTGTGTAATTACATAAAATCTGCATGGACAATCAGATCACATATTGTTACTTAATGTTGCTTGTTTTTTTACTATGTATTTTGTGCATTACTCTCTGCTGTTTATCATTTGTCATGTTGTTAATATGTTTTCGTTGCTATAGCATAGTTAATGCTTTCTGCAATAAAGTATTCATTCATTCAACAGTGGAAACTGGCTTGTTGAATTGTGAGCTACAAGTATTCTCAATTTGTCACTTAAGCTTTGGACAATTAATGCAAGCTGACTAAGAAATTTAAATATACTACATCTTTAATAATAAGCAGCGTTTGATACTTTTATATAATCTTAATGACTCAAGCTATTATAAATTCTTAAAAGCTCTCAGAATATAAAATGTAAATTTGTATTCAAGATCGCAACATTTTAATCATTAATACATTATTATGGAAAATAGAGAAAAAATATGAAAACAAAGTTAAATTAAGATTTACATCACAGTGCTAGATTATATCGACTTTTAAAATATTGGGAAATTATCTTTTTTTTAAATATGAAAAGCCAATTTTTGTAAGAAAAAATATGTTTTGTTAAGGATGTATTCTTCTGAGGTTTCAGTTTCGTTGAAATCTCGTTCCGGAATTATTTCCAAAACATGTGATACAAGTGGAAAATATCAATGAATATAAAAAATATTTTAATCAAACTAATTATAACTCTGTGAAAAAATTGTGTACCTACAATAAGTAGTTTTTGAGTAATAAAATTTTCAAATTTTTATAACCAATCTGGTAAGTGTCATCAGCCAAAATGTTAAGACAATAGGTGAAGGTACAAAGAAATGATTTTACCAAAGATATGTACATCCCATATCAATTTTTTTTCTTTTCAAAATTCTTAGATATGTATTTTTCAATCATTTATAACAAAGAAGTTGAAATAATATGCTTATTGTTCTATAAAAAAGAGAAAAATCCCAAATTTACAAAATTGACAGCATGGTCAATTTGACACGAAAAAGCAAACAAAATTTTATAAAACGTTCTAATATGACATTTATCATATTTATGGTTGTATTTTACAAAAAAACAGAATACTTTTGTTTGATTCTATTTTTTCCAACTTTGCCACATAAGGGGAGGCAACTCAAATGTAAGGGCAGATAATCAGATAAAGTTTGTTTTACAATATAATGTGTTAGGAATTTACCTATTTTATTATGTAGCAAGAAAACGGGTCCCGTGACCCCATTTTTTCTTTTTCTTATCTGAAAGCATACTGTTAGAGCTATCTTCTCATATTTTATCTCAAAATTCTATGGTGTAGTTTTCGTTTTATGACAGAAAATTGGGTTTTCCATGCATAATCTATACAAAATCTATCAATTTTGCATAACCTGTAGCTTGAAAATAAGCCCCGTGACCCACTCTTTTTATTTTCTAAAAAAAAAAGCATGATATAAACTACATTTTGGCACATTATTAAAAAATTCTATGGATCATAATTTAGACACCCCATCTACCTTAAAACGTTTAAACCCGCTACATTTGTATACACCTGTCCTAAGTCAGGAGCCTGTTGTTCAGTGGTTGTCGTTTGTTGATGTGGTTCATAGGTATTTCTCGTTTTTTATATAGATTAGACTGTTGGTTTTCCTGTTTGAATTGTTTTACACTAGTAATTTTGGGGCCCTTTATAGCTTGCTGTTCGATGTGAGCCAAGGCTCCGTGTTGAAGGCCGTACTTTGACCTATAATTGTTAACTTTTTATACATTGTGACTTGGATGGAGAGTTGTCTCATTGGCATGTTAACTTTTTATACATTGTGACTTGGATGGAGAGTTGTCTCATTGGCACTCATACCACACCAGGGTTATGTCAAAGAACCTCTCGTGCTTTTTCTTAAAAAGTTCATCTGAAGATACCAAGACTTTGTTGATAAATATTCCGTATCAACTTCACAAATAATACATGATGGTCTTGCAGTATAGATTCTAGGTACTGACGTTGTTTATCTTCTTAATTAAAAATTACGTGTTATAGTGTTCTTTTATTTGTCTTTGTAAATATTAATCTTTAAATTCTATTAATCCGATAATAGACTTCGTATCTACGTGTCAAAGATAGTTTTTAGCAGATTATCTTAACAATGGACAATAATTGCTTAATCTATGATAGTTACATGTATTTCTTTATTATTATGTTTTATATACTTTTTGAAAATAATTATTGTTCAGTTTTGGAAAGGTATTCTAACTGTAAATACCGGACTCCATATTGTAACATCGTTTATATTCTTGTTCGGTCGTTTATTAAAGGCACGCCTTTATTAAATTGTTAAACTTTATACCGACTTGAATCTTCATTTGATAGCCAGAAAATAGTCTGGTTATAACTGTATCAATAATTAGTCTGGTTATAACTGTATCAATAATTAGTCTGGTTATAACTGTATCAATAATTACTCGAAACTATTTTTCCTTTCCTTTCTTTGTGACAATGTTCTGTTTACAAGTTCGTATGGCATGTAATAGAATAATTTCTCAGTGGATTTAATTTACTCCTGTTAGCAATGACGTATAAGATTTCAGTGAAATTCAATGTAATAATTTCATAGCATTAAAAGTCCTTTGCAAGGATGAAGATATATTTTATGCGCTTTTCTCAATGTTGCATTAGAAAGACACCTCAAAAACAATATATATAATTATATCTTTTATGTCTGACAGAATTCTGGTTTAGTTGTGTGACATATCTATCTTTGTAAATGTTCATAAGTAAATACGCAAAAGTTGTCAAAAAATGTACTAAAAGCATACAGTTTTGAACAGAATCGAAGAATTCAAATATAGGGAAGTATATATATATATATTTTAAAAGGAGTGAGCGCACAACACATTAATTCACGAATGCCAGTGTATCCCAAACTCTGTCTGACCAAAAAAATGTCAGACAAAAAATCATTCGATCAGACAGAACTTTTTAGATTTTTTAGTTGAAAATATAGTAGAAAAGATAAAATTTCTTTTTCGGTCAGACAAACCCTAAAACAGTTTGGCACAGACTGGAATGCGCGTAGCTGATGAGTTAACGTTCACTGTTGTATGACGTCAGGAGTGAAACTATCGGTTTTTATTGTATTAGGAAAGGAAATCACGGCAATTCATTGCAACCAATGTAATAAAAGAATTTACACTTTACTAGATATAAGAATATATGACAAAAATGATGTCTGAAACAAAAAAAGCCTACATAACGATATAGTACTGTGAGTTTCGTAAAGATCATTCGAAGAGACGATAAACAGACATAAAATTGGGGGGGGGGGGGGTCAGATAGGTAAATGACTTTCTTAGTAGGAAGTAGTGACACTGTCAGATAGGTAAATGACTTTCTTAGTAGGAAGTAGTGACACTGTCAGATAGATAATGACTTTCTTAGTAGGAAGTAGTGACACTGTCAGATGGGTAATGACTTTCTTAGTAGGAAGTAGTGACACTGTCAGATGGGTAAATGACTTTCTTAGTACGAAGTAGTGACACTGTCAGATGGGTAATGACTTTCTTAGTAGGAAGTAGTGACACTGTCAGATGGGTAAATGACTTTCTTAGTAGGAAGTAGTGACACTGTCAGATGGGTAATGACTTTCTTAGTAGGAAGTAGTGACACTATCAGATGGGTAAATGACTTTCTTGAGAGAACATCTTCTGAATCTGATTTTGTTTTTGATAAGAATTTTAATGTATCGGATCAAATTGAACTGAAAATAAAACTTTTCACAATTCTTTCATTCACACTTAAAAAGCACAAACATACTTACACTAGCTTCACTTTGGGTTTTTACATCAGCATAATCAGAGATGTAGTAACAGTAATTGAAACTAAACCTCCAGCCTTCTTTGCATTCTGAAATAAAAAAAATAAAACAAAATTGGAAAGGAGTAGGTCCGGTAAGGGCCGATTTTGGCCTCAAATTTCAGGTTTATCTGATGAAAGATTTTGAACACTTTTTAAACACTTAAGTGTCTACTTTAGTCGATTCAACTACTTTATGTGAAAGATTTGAACTGATTTAGTCATTTCAGTCGCTCAAATTCAAGCTTAAATATGAAAAATCTATCAAATATGCCATAATATGTACATTTTCAGATGGTTTTTGTCAAAAATGAAAGTGGCCGCATCCGTGTTCACTTTCAACCTTTATATATGTTATGTATTATCATCAAATACAACTTACATTTAAATATTAAGAATGAACACAAATGCGGCCACTTCCATTTAAGATGGAAACCGTCTAAAATTTAACTCAAATGCTAAAATTGTGAAGATTTCAGTAATTTAGCATGACTAAATGATGCTAGTACTCGATATATGTGCATTATATTGTCAAAAACTGCCCATATCTATGTAGCAGAAGTATTCTACTTTCCAATAAATAGCTAAAAAGTTACATTTTAACAATTTTGTAAAACAGCTATATTTTGGGACCAAAAAGGAGTCTTACTGGACCTACTCCTTTACAGACTTGATATTGTGGCCTTCTTTTACATTTACTGTAGGGGACTCCACATTCCTATATTTTACTTTAGGGGACTGTGTCCTTAAAAAGATATTTTTCATCTTTTTTTTATTAAAAACAATTATGAACATACGTTTAATAAATTGTTAGGTAACTTATTATAACCTATAGACATATTTAAAAGAACCAATTACTATAAAACTGTATGATAAATATATGGGTACCTTAAAGTAAAGAAGTGTTATAATGCCTTTTTATACGACATTGGCGTCGTCGTCGTCCGAAGACACATCTGTTTTCGCACTCTAACTTTAGTTTAAGTGAATGGATCTCAATGAAATTTTACCATAAGGTTCAATACCACAAAAGGAAGGTTGGGATTGATTTTAGGGGTTATGGTACCAACAGTTAAGGAATTAGGGGCCAAAAATAAGCATTTTTGTAACTTCCAGACATAACTTGTGTGTTAGTGTATGGATCTCTCTGACATTGTACCACAAGGTTCCATATCACAAAGGGAATGCTGGGATTGATTTTGGGGGTAATTGCCTCAAAATTTTAGGAATTAGGGGCCAAAAAAGGGGCAAAAAACAAGCATTTTTAGGCAGTTAAGCTCCCTTATGCGAGCGCCCTAGATTTGTGTTCTACCCAATAAATGCTGAAATACCTGCCAATGTTATTATCTAGCTGGCTATTATGTTATTTATAACTAATTGGACATTTTTTTAATACTTTTATTTCTGGAATACAAAAAATATGACCAGAAAAACCTTAAATGATCGTCGAACTACCCAAAAATTTGAAGTTGCACATAGGAAGTAGTGCTCAATAGAAATCCGTACGTAGTTTATTATCCCCTGTGCTTTTGGCTACGATGTCAAAGAACAATTGTATGAAATATTTCATCGCCGAAAATCGGTAATTACAAGTCGTTTATATTTCCCAAATGGCAAAATGCTAAGGAATATTGTTCATGTACAACAAATCTCTATGATAGAGGAAATAAAGTTATATCAGTGGGTGGTAATTTCTAACTTATCTTGCCAAATAAGGCTGTTGTTATTTTATGAATGAAACGAGGTCATGAAAACAGATGCGGAAATCGACGTTGATGGGATGTTTTATACTTTTAAGAAATGTAGACAACTCGTCCCCGAGACAAGTCGGACCGAATCCACTCAAACCGTCTAAGAAGACAACTTTGACCGTTTGTCAGATTTACTTAGGGTTTCATAAAATATTAGACTAACATGTCTAGCGGAGCCATTTATCTTTTGTTTGTGCATTGGGGTCTATTTAGGGGTATTTGGAGGGGCCTGAAGAATGGAGGGGTTTACTATAGAACCCTATGGGATTTTATTCTTTTAAATTTTCAAATGACTATTTCTCGAAAACAGTAGGTGATAGACACATGCAGTCTTCAGTAATAGGAACAGGACAATACACAAAATCAACCAAAATATAGGGCGAGTCCCTGGGGGTCATCCTTACCCCCTTCAATTTGAAAATGTACTTTTATCTTGTAAACCGTCGCGATCCCCACCCCTAAACAATATATATACTTGAATGGGACAATAAAAGAAATCAAATGAAAATAATTTGGGGGAGTCCCCAGTGTCGTCCCACCCCCTCCTGTTTGAGTACTTGGAAATGGTCAAGATCCCCACCCCTAAACCATATATATTCATGTATGGGACAATAAAACAAATCAAAAATGAAATATAGAGTGAGTCCCTGGGGTCACCCCACCCCCTCCTGTTTGAGAACTTGGAAACGGTCGAGATCCCCACACCTAAACCATATGTATTCATGTATGGGACAATATAACAAATCAAATGAAATATAGGGGGAGTCCCTGGGGTCACCCCAACCCCTCCTGTTTGAGAACTTGGAAATGGTCGAGATCCCCACCCCTTAACCATATGTATTCATGTATGGGACAATATAACCAATCAAATGAAATATAGGGGGAGTCCCTGGGGTCACCCCACCCCCTCTTGTTTGAGAACTTGTAAACGGTCGAGATACCCACACCTAAACCATATTTATTCCTGTTCATCATTTCAAAAAGATTTGAATGACATACAGGGTCAATCTCCTTGGTGTCACATATGCATATCACTTTACTAGACCAAACCAATATGAACTGGACTTTGCCCATTGTCAGGAGACCATGGGAATGACGAATTATGGGGCTTTGTTTGGGAGACTTCGTAACGGCATCTTGTAACAATTATTTCTTGTTTATTATAAAAAAATTTTGATCCAAAAAATGAGTCTAGATTATTGAATTTACTTTAATTGTTTATTAAATTATTTCTGGGCCTATAATAATTTTCATTTATGGCTCATTTTAAAGAAAACATATAAATTTTTAAAGCAGTGTAAAGCCCGAGAATGTTTGACCAACTGTTTTATAATCACCTGTCATTTTATTCCAAACTTGGTATGGAGTAACATCATGCACTTGGGGGTGAAAATGGGGGTCATTTACATTGATATATGAGTTGCTTTTGAAAACCTTGATGAAATATTAATCAATTTGCCTTAATAATCAATTCATTTAATGAACATAAATGTACAATATACGAATGTTTAATGTTTGTTCTTTCAAATCTTAAAAAAAAATTGAAGCAACATTGCCACAGTTTTCATAATTACGTTTGCCTTGGTTTTTGGTTAACTGCCTACAGCGCTTACAGTGCTTTGATTCTAGTTTCATGACAATAACTTGTGTGTAAGTGTATGGATCTTTCTGAAATTGTACTACAAGGTTCCATAACACAAAGGGAAAGCTGGAATTGAGTTTGGGGGTAATTGCCCAAAACGTTTAGGAATAAGGGGCCAAAAAAGGGGCCAAAAATAAGCATTTTTCTAGTTTCCAGACAATAACTTGTGTTCAAGTGTATGGATCTCTCTGAAATTGTACTACAAAGTACCATACCACAAAGCCAAAGGGAAGGCTGTGATTGATTTTGGGGGTAATTGCCTCAAAATTTTAGGAATTAGGGGCCGAAAAGGGGCAAAAAACTTGCATTTTTCTAGTTTCAGAACAATAACTTGTGTGTAAGTGTATTGATCTTTATAAAATTGTACTACAAGGTTCCATATTACAAAGGGAAAGCTGGGTTTGAGTTTGGGGGTAATTGCCCTAAACGTTTAGGAATTTGGGGCCAAAAAGGGGCCTTAAAACAAGCATTTTTTTCTAGTTTCCAGACAATAACTTGTGTTCAAGTGTATGGATCTCTCTGAAATTGTACTGCAAGGTACCATACCACAAAGGGAACGCTGGGATTGAGTTTGGGAGTGATGAATCATAAGGGGGTTCAAAAAAATTTGGGGGAGGGATTTTTTTTCCTTTTTTCCTTTTTTTTTCTTATGCTGTGTCAAATATTTAATCACAATCCAAATTCAGTGCTGTATCAAGCTTGAATGTTGTGTCCATACTTGCCCCAACTGTTCAGGGTTCGACCTCTGCGGTCGTATCAAGCTGCACCCAGCGGAGCATTTTATTTTACTTTAGGGGACCCATAACCTATAGACAGATTTAAAAAGACCCAATTACTATTAAACTGTATGATATATATAAGGGTACCCTAAAGTAAAGTAGTGCTATAATGCCTCCTTTTTACTTTAGGGGACCAACAACCTATTATAGACAGATTTAAAAAGAAAACAAATACTATAAAACTGTATAAGATATATATGGGTCCCCTAAAGTAAAGAAGTGCTATATTGCCTTCTTTTACTTTAAGGGACCCACAACCTATAGACATATTTAAAGAAAAAATACTACAAACTGTATTATATACATACTAGTCCCTTAAAACCTATTTATACAGCAATTATACTAGAAAAAAACTTATTTTTCATGAGTCCCCTCATTTTTTTTTTACAATTTGTAAAGTCCCCTAAAGTAAAAGAAGGCCAATATTGTAAACCATACTCCTCTGAGTCTACACGGCTTAGTCACTTATTCTATTAAATAGAAAAAACAAAGGATATACTCTTTTTTCGCTTCATGTTCCAATTAAACATGGGGTGCAAGGGTGTGACGTCACTGCTAAACTATTTTATTTTTAATTCTGATATGACGTACTTCTTTCGCTTTGTAAACAACACCGTGATAAAATGAGATCTATACTTAAACTCAGACTCAGCGCAGACTAAGAGATGTATATAGTAATGGCTGTTACAATATACCTCCCACGTAAATCCACATGTATCGTAAGGGAACGACAATTTAACTTCAAAAAAGGAGGGGTGGGGGGTATGGTTTTTTCCTAAAAGAATATTCTGATCCCCAATTTGATGAAAAAAAAATATTGTGGTCAAGCAGATGACAAAAAAAAATATTCTGAATCCAGCTTTTCCCCATACCTTATAG